GTTAAAAAAATTAAAATAAAATTTACTACAGTTCCTTTGTGCCAGTTTTGTGTCCCTCTTTAGCAAAGTTGAGCCTGGGCAGCCCGAGACAGGGGTGTGGGGAGACTGCTCACAGACAGAGCCAGATGGAACCGGAAGCCTCCCCGGGAGGGGCCGTCCTGGGCAGGGGCTCCCCCAGCGGGCACCTGGCAGAAGAGAGGTGCCCGAAACCTCCATTTCTGGGTCTCTTAACTGCGTGGATGGCGGGGCCACCATTGCATCCCTCCAGTCCAGCTCATGCTCAGAAAAATACAGTTGGTCTCTAGGCATACTGGCTAGCAGGTCATTCAGGCTTCCTTGGAGGAATTATGGTAGGGTGCTCAGGGGGGCCACTCATGGGAATACACCCCAGGAATACAGGCAGGGTAAAAACGGCTTATTGCGCATGTTAAGAGAACGTCACCCTTCTTTCTGGACTTTTTCTAGACTGCCTCCCCTTCCATAAATTCTTTTTATTTTATTTTTAAGTTTTTAACATTTATTTATTTATTTATTTATTTGTTTATTTATTTTTAAACGTTTATTTATTTTTAAACGTTTATTTATTTTTGAGACAGAGAGAGACAGAGCATGAATGGGGGAAGGGCAGAGAGAGAGGGAGACAACAGAATCGGAAGCAGGCCCCAGGCTCTGAGCCATCAGCCCAGAGCCCGACGCGGGGCTCGAACTCACAGACTGCAAGATCGTGACCTGAGCTGAAGTCGGACGCTTAACCGACTGAGCCACCCAGGCGCCCCATAACATTTATTTATTTTTGAGAGACAGAGACAGAGCATGAGCGGGGGAGGCGCAGAGCGAGAGAGGGAGACACAGAATCCAAGGCTCCGAGCTGTCAGCACAGGGCCCGATGAGGGGCTCGAACCCATGAACCGTGAGATCATGACCTGAGCTGAAGTTGGATGCTCAACAGACTGAGCCACCCAGGCGCCGCATAAATTGTTTTCAGAGTGTGAAGCCTTTCATTTATTTTTCCGAAGCTAACTTTTCGCTTCTCAGGGCCAAAGCCACATAAGTTGGAAGAAGGGAGGGACAGTAATATTCTCAAGGGCCCGCTGGACGTTACGTATTGTGCTGGTTCCTTTGAACACGTTTTCTTTAATCCTTACAACAACCCTAATTCCTCCCACCACGAGAGCCGACTGGAAGGCTGAGACAACATACACGGTAAAGTATCTGTGCACTCACTTGTGCCCAATGTGCACAAGGTCCCTGCACTATTGTTGGAGTGGAAGACCGATCTGACTCAGGTACTTTGACCTGCAGATCCTGCATCTTCCTAGCAGCTAACTTGCTTCCCACGCAGAGGACGCCCCATTCTCTTAGCGAACCTCGCTGGCTCACGCTAGTGCTGGGGGTCCCCTCTGGGACTCGCCACAGACTTACAGGCTCCATCCTGGAAAAGATTTTCAAGTGGATTGTTGTATTTGGGAGTGAGGCCCGAGGAAAGCGATTCTGTCGTCCACCGGGGCTGTTACACAGGATCACCAAGCATGAGGGCAGCAGGGGGGGTGCTCTCCTGTCTGGGGTGCAATGTGCTACCTGTGCTGCAGAACATGAGGAAGGAGACTCAGAGTGGCCACCGAGAGGCCGGATCGCACCTGAAGTTCCTTTTGTCTTCTCCCACGGCAGCGGGCTGGGCACAGGGGGCAAAGACGCTGCCTGGGCAGAGAGAATGACCACGCTGGATATGGCACAGCCACGGGGACAGGGACAAACAGGCAGCAGTGTTTTTCTCCTACGCTGCCTCGTTTGCAGCTTCAGCTGGAGACGACACTGGGGGCGTCTTGCTACAACGGTAATTAGTTCAGCTCCTCCAAATAATCAGCCAAACGAGAAACCTCTCAGTTTCACACGGGCTGGTTTGGTTCCCATGAGGTCTTGGTGCTGATTATGAGCACGAGGTCAGCAGAGATGCCCTCAGTGTCCCCGTGTGGATTTTGGCTCGTCCGGCCAAGGTGGGTAGTTTCTAGAAGCTCTGAGCTGTGAGGCAGAAAAGCCCAGGATCACAAAAAGAGAGTGGGCCCCTCGTACGAGGAATCATTTGCCTGTCTCAGGGATGAGAAAAACCATGGCTCAAGGGGAAAGCAACACGTCTCGCAGGCGACCAGGCCCGGGCCTTCCCCACCGTGGCCCGCTGCGTCCAAAGGGGAGGCTCGTGGTAGACTGTCTGAGGTCAAGCAGCCCTTCCACGCAGGATTTAAAGCCCGGAGTCATAGAGCCATCCATCTGGGGTGTAGAAAACCATCCCTCCTCCCACCACTTCCCCAATCAATTTGGTGATTTTTTTGCTAGTTAAGTTAAACAATTTGCACATTCCTACATCTCCCCGTGGGTGCAAGTGTTGGTGATTTCTAGCCAGTCGAGAAGACACGGCTGATTCTCCAGGCCTGGGTGGGGGCAGAACAATCCTCAGCGCCACACGGATGAGGGAGGAAAGTTCTCGGCCCTTGGAACGTAAATTACATCCAGATATCACTTCCCTGGCTCCCCCCCTCCTTCCCCCCTCTCGCTTTCTCTCTGATTCTCTCCTGTCACCAGTGGCAAACACAGCTGGTGGAGTATTTTAGCAGTGATGATGTCAGCCTGTTTCTGATAGGCTTCTGGGGAAAGCGACACATCACTGGCTGCGTCAGGGGCCTTGCACTTTTGTTTTTACAGCTCAGAAACCAAACCCCCTTTTGAGCAGGCAGCAAACCCCCTTCCCGGCACGCGACACCCCCGCGCGGGGCTGCCCGGACAGACCTGCGAACAGGCCATGATAAATCTCCTACCTCCTCATTTGCACCTTGGTCGTGTGTAGGCAACGAGACCCGTGGTCTGGCTGCCGGAGGAAATGGGACTCACAGGGAAGCCGGTGACTCTATCATGCGAGCGTCCGTTGTGCAAAGTATCGGGCAGGGAAAACGTAGAGATGCTTCCTCTCCAGAACTGCCTGGTTGATTCGAGAGCTAAAGAGGCCTGGGAAGCCCTTGGCTATGAGAACGGCTGGAGCCGTTCTGTATTCTCGGGGTGAAAGAGGTTCACATGCAAACCAGGAGCATTTCCAAGTAACGCCTCTTCCTGTGCCTTCCCCCCGTTCGCAGTAACGCTTTAAGGACTAAAGGTGCTATGAGAAAACACATTCACTTGCATTCCTGTTTATTTCCATGCTTCACCTGGAGCCTGTTACAAGACAACTCATTTTTTCCTTCCAGTGCCCACCTCCAACACTACACAGGCAGGAGGGAGAGAGCGGCAACCACAGACGGGGAGGGAGTTCGAAATAATGACGCCGCTTAAAGAAAAGTCCTGCTGTTTTGCATTTTTTTTTTTTTTTTAATCTGAACTTTGAGACATCTTACTTGGTCCCGAACCAAAGACCGTAAGCCTATAGTGACGCTGTACCATAAAAAAGAAATCCTTGGGGGCTAAAAGCTCTTGGCATCGCAGGCCCCCTGACACTGTGCGAGACCTGACATCTGGTCACTCCCAAGCCCTTCTGGAAAACCCTCAAAAATCCCCCCTCCCCTAAAACTTGATCTCTTAAAAGTCTGCTCAAAACAATTTAAACCATGAACTAGTTTGTCTTATTTATTTATTTATTTATTTATTTATTTATTTATTTATTTATTTTTGAATGTCCCAAATATCAGCTATGCTATGACCATTTTCAACTCAAACATGAGGGAGGCGCTGTCACCTCTGGGGTTTTTCAAAGTCCTCAATGGAAACATTCCCAGGAGATCTGGGCTCAACGGCCGAGGAAGCTCCCAGCCTGGAGGCCACACCTGCTGGACTCGAAGCCACCTGGACAGTGCTTTATATCAATGGGCCACAGAATAAAGGTGTTCAGGTGATTCAAGAGACTTAAAAGAGTGCACGGAAGGAGCCCACGGAAATTAAGAGAGTCAATAATAGTTCCAGGCTTTAACGCGACTCACCACGACTGCGTTTACTGCTGGTGGTTCCTGTTTACTACGAGCCCAGGAGATCACCTGGGATTCTGGGACTATGTTAACCGTGCCTTTTACTTTCGACCTTCCGATGCTTTGACATCTCGGAGCCTTGCTGCCTCTAGAGGGGATGTCCCTCCCAGGGTTAGCTGATTCCTTGCCTGGGAGAGACATCTTCACATGCAAACCAAAAACCCACACCCCCAACCACCGCCTCTACTGGGCTTTCACCTCGGGGCCCCGATCCACCTGCCCCAATCACCCCAGGCCCAGGTAGCAGACACCCAGGGGCAGCTCTGCCCCAGAGCCCCCTGAAATTATCCACACCAGCCAATCCTAAGCCTGCTCGTTCCTTCCCACAAGAAAGGCTCTTGCCCATGTTCCCTCCTCGTCCCCCTGCCTCCTGACTGACTCTGGAGATTCCCCACGTGGCGTGCCCATCTTCTTGGGATCCGAGTAGAACAAGCCACCTTTCAATGGCGGCTGTGCCCCCCATCTGTCAGCCTCCCCACACCTAAAGAGTAATAACATTTTAAAACACGGATGTTGGAATGGGACGTGGGGACTCTGACCGTCTAAGGTGCCCACCCGGACCAGCACTGCCTTTTCCTGGCAGAGAAGAAGGGCACAGTGACCCCTAGAAAGGCTTGAGCCTGCCGGCTGCGTTTCTCACTCAAGGTTCCTCATCTAAACTACAGAATAAAAAACAAAAAACAAAAACAAAAACACGCCCAGGGTGATTTTTCCAATCTTCCGGAGGATGGTACCTTTCCTAAGCCCTCCGGTCTAGGAGCACAGAAGTGAATTCCTTACAAACAAGTGCCTTGGGGCGTTGGGGCTTAGAACCTGGCTGGGAAAGGTGATGGTCCTGCAGAGTCTAGGGGTGAAGGAAAACCCTCAATTCTCCGCACAGCCCGTTGCAGTCTGCCTCTTGGAAGAGGCTCATGTTGCCAGGGAAACCAGGGAGGACCCCATAACTGTGTGTGTGTGCGCGTGCACGCGCACGCAGGGGGAGGGGGTGAAGGTTACCTGTGCTCGGTGCTCCCCGACGGCAAACTGTATCACCGCCACGCCTGGGTGGTGGCTGTCCTCGATCCTCTCCACGGTGCTGGAGTCGATCTTCAGGTCGCTGCTGATCTCGGCGCTCTGGATGAAGTCTTCCGTCTTCAAGTCCTCCACCTTCTTCAGCTCCCCGTTGGCCAACTGGATGATGGAGCCTTTCATGAAGTAGGGGGGCAGCGTGGGGGGCGCGGCGGCGGGGGACGCCACGGACTGCACCACGGGCAGGTGGATCTGGGCCTGCACCATGGCTGGGTAGGCGGCCTGCGTGGCCAGGGCCTCCGGGCTGAAGTTCTCGTTCTTGGGGAGGGCGGTGGTGACGAACGTGTGAGGCACTGCCGCAAACTGGGGCGACGACGTGGCGATGGCGGGGGCGGCTCCCGAGCCCTCCACGTCGGCGCCGCCGACCGGGATGAGCAGGGGCTGCGTGCCGGGGATCACCAGGTGCTGGGGCAGGCTGCCGGCGTACGTGATCGCCTGCTGCTGGCTGCTCAGGTAGCCGATGACCGGCGCTTGGGTCCCCGCGTAGAAGGCGGTGGCCGGCAGTCCGACCGGGAGTGGCTCCGAGGCGCTGTGTGTGGTCTGGATGACCGTGTGGGGGGACAGCGTGGCGACGGCGGCGGCCTTCACGCCTTCGGGGCCCAGGGCCTGTTGGGGCGACAGCGCGTAGGACCGGTGCCCGGGCTTCCCTAGATGCAGGCCGCTTTTGTCGTTGAGGGTGGAGGGCGAGGCCTCCCGGTGCGTGACCGGCTGCACCTCCAGGTCGGCGGCGGGCGCGCTGCTGGTGGGCAGGACCATCACAGAGGCCCGGACCCCCGAGGAGTCCCGACCGCCGTAGTCCGCGGCGCTCGGGTGCACCACCACGTGCCTGGACTCGTACGGGTGAGGAAGCGACTTCCCGGCCTTCACCAGGCCCAGGTCGGCGGAGCTCGGGGCCCCGTACCTGCGGCCCTTCTCCATCTCGCCGTTCAGGAGCTCCTTGGCCTGCATGGCCTGCAGCCTGCCGCTGTCGGCTTTCTTGGCGGCCTCCCGCGGGACGAAGTGGCCGCCGGAGTCGGTGTATTGCACTACGACCTGGGGGGAGGGCCCCAGGGTGAGCGTGTGTGGGATCATCGTCTGGTGCGGGTGCAGGTGGACGGGGATGGCCGGAGGGGACGCCGTGCGCCCGGCGCTCTGCGGAGAGCTGGAGATGTGCACGTACTGGTTTTGCTGGGTGGGAGGGGGGGACCCCGGGGGGCCGAGCCCCGACGTCCTGCCCAGGTGCTGCTGCTCAGCCTTGTGTCCCGAGGCTTGGCTCAGACTGCCCATGTTGGCCAGCAGGGTGGAATAGGCTTCCAGCTGGGAGCGCTGGGATGGAGTGGTGGCCCCCGCGGCCGAGGCCACGGCACTGGTGACGGGGCTGGCTGTTGGGGAGATCAGCTGCGAAGGGATGAACCCGGCGTAGGGCCCGCTGTACTGGGAGGACCCGATGAACTGGAAAGTGTGCGGCAGGTGAGCGTACTGCACGGGGGACACCGGCGTCCCCGACTGCGGGGGAGGGTACGCGGCGGGCAGCGTGGTGGTCGCCGGCACGGACCTGGGCGCGCTGGGCGGGGAGTAGTCCAGCCCCGCGGACAGCGCTTTGTGTAAACCTATTCCCTGCTGTAAACCCAGCTCCACCGGGGCCCCCGCCGGGCCGTGCCTGCCGCCCCCGTGGCCGCGGCCCCCCGGGTTGCCGGGGAGCCATGCCACGGCCTCCGCCCGGTGGTTGTCGCTGGGCGCCGCGGCGGCCTTCTCCTCCGAAGGCCGGCTGGTGGCGGGGATCTCGCGCTTCTTGGGAGGCAGGCATTCGTTGCTCCGCTCTTGGTTGGATTTCATTTTTCGCCGTCCCCCCTCCACGGTGACTGTTTCACTGTCTGGCTGGCTCTGGTTTTAGTCTGATACATGGAAAGTCACATTTGATTTCTGTAGGGGATCCAGGCTCTTCATGAGGAATCATCTCCCCGTGGGTGCGATCGGCCCGCAGCAGCTCTGGAATCTGGGAAGAGGCAGACAGGGTGGGGGGCGAGGGGAAGAGGAGGGAAAGGAAATCAGAACATCAGACTGAGACTAGGCCTCTGGCTTCCACGTGAATTCCCCAAAACCTGATCACAGGCCCCAGCATTAACGCCCATGAAAACACTGGCCACGCTGGAGAGCACATCAGGTAGACGTGAGGATAACCGGGAGGTCAGTCCCTCACAGCAGATACCTTCTGATGGCACGAACAGCTCCCCTAAGACCCTCTGCGTTTCTCAATACCCTCTCTGTTTTCTTTTCTTCTTACAAGGGAGATGATTTGGTTCTTAAATTTCCTTTTCAGAAATGCTGGTCCCTTCTTTACCTCTTCTTTGCCTTGCTGGGAAATCCAAAGGAGCCCACAGGAAGGGTGACATTAGGGGAAGTCAGCCTCAGATGCAGGTGCTGGGAAGGAGCAGGTGAGGAGTGGGGGAGGGGTCCCAGGCCACCTTCAGGTGTAAGGTCTGGGGTTGGCGGAGGGCGGGGGCGGGGGGCGGGGTGGGGAGTCTCAGGCCATCTTCAGGAGTAAGGTCGGGGGTGGGGGGGGTAGTGCCGGGTCAGCTTCAGGTGTAAGGTCTGATGCCTCACCTGCCGGGGCTCCTACTCAAAGTTTCAAAGGTTCTGCCTGACTCAGGGTCCATACTCTGGTCCAAAGCCACTCTCTCTTCCCTCGCACACATGCACAATACCACATGCCAACTCAGCAGAGGCAGCCAAAAATAATCTTGTTCTCTACAAGCTTCCAAAGAATTCCCAGTACAGCTACTCATAGGGTAACAGAAAGCCAAAAGAAATCTGTGAGACAGTTAAAAAATGAATATGGTTATGGTTACACACACAAAAAAAGTGCGCTAATAGGGAGGCTACGTTGAAGGTTTCTCCTTCATGACGGTTACTCTTTCTTTCTTTCTTTCTTTCTTTCTTTCTTTCTTTCTCTCTCCCTCTCTCTCTCTCTCTCTCTCTCTCTCTCTCTTTCCATGTAGTCTCTGAATTTTCTCTTCACACCAGCTCCCTGCCTTTCTCCTTGGAAAAGGCCAACCTGCCATTAACCCTAGAGATGAAACCTCTTTTCAGATCAATCAGCCCCATGCGCCTCAATCGCGATCTATAAATAGTGGGCTGGGAGCCAGTTACATACATATATCTCAGTCCCTCAGTGGCCGGTGAACTTGGAGTCACCGTGACTGTGTGGGCAGATGGACACCCACTGGCAACAGGCAGCACATCAGTGGCACTAACAGGAACCGGGCTAATGAGCAGATGCGAGTGCCCCTTGCAGGCACCAGCTGTAGACACAAGCACAGTCACGTGCGGGCATCCTGGGAAACTGAGGCACGGGGCTTTGGGTTTTAGCATTTCTCCTACCCAGACCCTCTTTTCTATAATCTGATTTTATAAACATTTTTTAATCTTTATTTATTTTTGAGAGAAAGAGAGAGAGAGAGAGACTGAGCATGAGTGGGGGAGGGGCAGAGAGAGAGGGAGACACAGAATCCGAAGCAGGCTCCAGGCTCCCAGCTGTCAGCACAGAGCCCGACGTGGGGCTTGAACTCATGAACTGTGAGATTATGACCTGAGCCAAAGTCGGACGCTTAACAGACTGAGCCACCCAGGCGCCCCATCATTTGCTTATTTTATTTATTTGGTTTTTTCTTTTTTTTACTTTCTTTTATTTTTCAGAGAGAGACAGCACAAGTGGGGGAGGAGCAGAGAGAGAGGGGACACGAGTACCCGAAGCAGGCTCAGCGCTGACCGCAGAGGGCCTGACAAGGGGCTCAAACCCACAGATCGCAAGGCCGTGGCCTGAGCGGAGGTCAGA